ACAATCATGTGTTCTATGTGTCCCCAATCCCTATCACCCTTGTGTGTAGGTTCTTTCCTCCTGTTTTGGTCCTGTGAATATTACTGATGTGGTTTTAGACTCCCTGTTTGATTTATTGTTGCTTGATCATGTAACTCTCTCTTTTTAAAGTTGTTTTATTGCATGATTCCCTCTTTTACTCCACAAGTTATTTCAAACAAATCTCTTTAACACTGTTTTTGTTTTACTAAAACCCTTTCAAAACTATGTCAAGCACTCTCACTCTATTCTTAAGTCCCTAAGTTCTGCCCCCTCCAGTGTGTGTACTGCCTTGGGATCCCTTTGAGAACCCTCTGAACTCTAGCACACTGAGGCTGGCCCTTCCACATTGCACTTATTCAATTTGGTTACCAAGTCTAGGTGTAAGCACTGCCCGGGATCCTTGAGATCCTTAGGGAACTTTGATGCACCTGGACTGTGATATTTTCTATGGAATTTGGGCATTTGAGGCTATTGGAGGCTTTGGAAACCTGGGCCTAACTGAAGGCTCTATAGAATAACTTCTTATTTTCTTATTCACTTATGTAATTCATTCATATGGTCTGTAATAATTTGTAAACGAATATTGGGGTAATTAGTGAAAAGGGGTGGATAGCTACATGTTTGTGGGGTAATACAGGTAGAAACCATGCCTGTAGGACTTTACATCTTGTCATGTTTGTCTCACCATGTTAGAATTCATGTCTATAGGTTTCAAGGGATTCCATAATAGAAATCATGTTTATAAGTCTTGAAATCAGTTTCACAAGTAGATGCCATGCCTATAGGATATAATTTAACCCGGTCTCTGTCATAACAAGTGTTTACATGTGTTTTTCAATTGTCATCATTCCTGCAAGTTTTCTAAAATCAGTATTAAACAACTAGATATCATGCCTATAGGGAACAACACCAGAAATTCTGCCTGTCGATCTAAACTAGTTAAAATAAATCAATCCAGTCCACGTTCAGTTCACTTCGAAACTTGTTTAATTAATGGTTTATTTTCCTGAAACGAGCTCTTTCAAAACTGCTTTATTCTGTCATTAGACAGCATGCCTATAGGGATTAAAAAGGTCAGTTTTAAAAACCTGCCTTGTTCCACTATATAAAATATAGTCATCTATATTCCGCGTATAGGCAAGCCTATAGGACGTTTTCGAATCTTGCAACTCTGAAACCGTTTCTGCGACTTAATGTTATTCTGGTTTAACAGGCTTTAAAAAATCAGTGTGTAACTGACAGGGCTTTACTTCTGAGTTTATAAAAATAAACTGCTTGTCTTCTGTATATTCATTTAGACATCCTGCCGTAGGATACTGTTTAACAAAAAGGCCTTTATTTGTGTTTGAGTCGTGCTGTTTACATGCCTTATTTGTGGAGGTAAACTGAGCCTCTTATTTTCTCCTTCCTGCTCTTGTTTGCTAAGAGTCCTACGTGTTATTGCTTGTCGCCTTAGTATTTTTACCTTTTAAACCTTAGGTGGTCTGTCTAGAACCACCTATAGGTAGAGGTCCCAAATCCCTCCAGGACCATTAAGAAGGGACGGGTAGCAGCACGCAATAGAGATTGCTGACCAACACTCGCTTTGAATGACCACTAAGGGGATGGGAAGGGTAGATATGGATATGATGACCGGTGCGTTAATGCGACGCGTAGCCCCTTTCTAAGGAGTGATTACAGGGCATTGTACTGATGTGATCCTATAGGTTAACCAACCTAGGACCCCTTCCCCCCCTCCTCTCCCAAATCCTCTTTACTTGGAAACTTTACTTTCCATTTTTACGCACACAACTTGTTAAAATTCTTATCTTATTATTTGAGTTATACAATGCCCAACATGTTCAACTTGCAATTATTTGCTTCAACTGTTTGTTTTGTTAATGGACTAATTCGTAAGTATGAGTTCGGCCAGGACCCACAGTTGTGGACCAAGGGGGGTGCCTAACACCTTCCCCTCGAGGTTATTTCGAGCCCTTACCCTAATCTCTGGTAATGCAAACTAGTCTAAGAGTTAATCGCTCTAGGTGCCCTAACGCACCGTAATCCGCGACTCTTCAAATACCCAATTCCCAAAAGGAAATGAGTTATTACCCCCCATGAAATGTCGGAAACTGGACCTCCCCCCGCGAGGAGGGAAAAAACGGGGCGCGACAGGTGTGATGTAGACAGCCTATATCCTAATGCAATCATTAGTGGCTGCTTCCACGACTCGAACCCCTGACCTGTAGGTCACACGGAACCAACTTTATCGTTGCTTCAAGATTCTCCCATCAATTCACCTTCTATGACCAGCAGAATGACAAAATTGACCTATATATTATGCTTTGAGGGAAAAGAAGGAGTTACCCTTCAAAATGATACTTCTTATAGAGAAGAATTTGTTTATTTATACATCTTATTTTCATGTGCCAAGACTTGTACAATTCATAAGCATATACTTTTGTGAGGTATCTTAATTAATATTTGTGTTCTAGTAATTTCTCTCACATGGCGGCTAAATAAGTTTACAGATGGACTTTCCTAGTTTTCATGGTTCACATGTGTAGAATAGTAATGTGATAGAAACTATTATTGCCTGACAATTGTAAGTCAGCCCAGGAATCAAAGACGAGACTAACGATACTAAAATCAAAATATTCGGAAAGATGATCTAGTTCTCAATTACTCAAAGGAGACTTTTCGTTTAAGTATTTATAAATATTGATGCGTCTACTATTGCACAACTACGTACGGAGTTACTTAGTTGGAATTGAGCCAAATGATGAAATGAATCAAACATGAGAGACAACAGGGGTTGCTCAGATGCTTAGCACCCCACCTACAATCTCATAATCGTAGATTCGAGTCAACAAAGGAGCAATAGTTCCAACAATGAAAATCGAAGGGGAATAAAAAGGAATTCAAACATGAGATTAATGATACTAAAATCAATTGATCAGAAAGATGATTATTAGCTACCAAAGGGCAACTAGGGAATTAGGTATTGCTAAAAACTGTTAAATTTGAAATTACTGGAGTGGTGGTCATTGACTAGCTTAATGTATAAGGGGGACACAAAGAATGTATAATGGTGTTGTAAGTTAATCTAAAAATCCAACAAAAATTTAAGAACCTTTGCATCATCTTTTCCTATGAGTTACAATCACATAAACTCCAATTTGCTTGCTGAATTTTTTCTCCGTCGTACTATTTCCTGTAAAGGACTCTTCACTGATTCAGTATTATCCTTAATGATAAAGGATGAAAAGTACATATTTTGAGTGTGTTTGTGTATTATTTCTTGTGTGAGTTGGGGAAGTTCACATCGCTTTTGAAGTAAAAATATGCTCATTACATGTTTCTTATGTGTGGGAACAAACTTATGCGGAAAATGATCAAATAGGAGAAAAATTGATGAAAAAAGAGTTGAAGAGAAAAATCCCGAACATCAAAGCAAGGTTCACTTTGCCAGACCGGGACCGGCGCAGAAAAAATCAGCTTTTCCAATCCGAATTAGGAGAAGGAAAATCCGCCCCATACAAACCCTAGTCACGATAAATACATCCTAAAACGTGCTTTTAAGAGAGAGACACTACTTTGGAAGGAGAGAAGACTTTGGGGAGGCAAGAACACACTAGGAGCAAGAAAGAGAAGGATTCAATTTCACGTTTTCCCCTCTTTCTTCCTCTATTTCCATTAATGGTTATAAATTCTAATATTGTAATTTTGCATACTATTATGAATAGCTAATTTGTTATATAGGGTTATGATGAACCTTTTGTAGGATGAATTCTTATTACGTTTTGTTAGCCCAGATACATCTCAGGCCCAATTGACACAGGCCCAATCGGATAAGGGAAAGAAGAAGGCCCTTCCATAACTCTTAGCCACATTTGTTATAGTTTAGACATGTAAATATTTTTACAATTGTTTTTTTCCCTTTACACCTGTAAATATAAATAGTCGCTACACAATAATAAAATGAGTTTTGGTCAATTACATTTTGACCGACTCACTCGTCTCTCAACCCTTCTAGGGTTTTTTTCTGCCATTTCCGCCATAGCTAACAAGCTTCTAACCTAACATGGTATCAGAGCAGGAATATAGATTTCTTTCGTCACAAGATTTCTTCCGATGGTAACCTTGTTTGAAATCGTCAGGGATTGATTTTGATCGTCGACGTTCAGAGTACGTTCGTGAAATTTGGGGCTACTTTCAATCTCCGTGTTTATTCGAATTTTCGTGCTTGAATCGTCAATAATCTTCAAGTTACTCGAGAGTTTCTGCTGGATTCTCTACCTAGGGTTCATGGCTGAACAAGACCTTACTTCTTCTGGTTTTTAGAAGAAGGCCGGTATCGTTGTTACTCCTAATCACAAGCCTGCCTTGTTATTTTTCATTGTTGATGTTTATTGCATGTACTTGATTTGGATCTATCTCTGATTACTTCAACATACTGCTGTAGTTTCTTAGTGTTAGCTTTAGTTACTGCTGAAAATGGGTAGTGTTATAGATGATGTTAACTCTACTTCACCTTCCAACGGTTTTGCTTCGTTTTCCTTGGATCTCTCACATCCCTTCTATATTCATCCCTCGGATAATCCCGGGAGTCAACTGGTATCTGATCCATTCAGTTGTGGGTTTGTGTTATGGCGTAACAGTATGCTTCTTTCCCTCTCTGCAAAGAATAAACTCAGTCTATTAGATGGCAGAGTCAACCAACCCACTCCTGACTCTCCTTATTATCCATGTTGGGACATGTGCAATGATATGGTTAACGCTTGGATAACTAATTTGGTATCTAGAGAAATAGTTGTTAGTGTGATGTGTTTTACAACTACTAAGGAAGTCTAGAAAGATATAAATGAAAGGTTTGGTCAGTCAAATGGGTCTAAATACATCCAAATACAAAGGGAGATCAGCTCTACTACTCAAGGCTCCTCTGATATAGCTTCTTACTTCACAAAAATGAGGAGTTTGTGGGATGAGCTGAATTCATCATATGTAGGTCCTACTTGTTCATGCGGTGCACTGCCTAAGTTCATAGAGGATCAACAGTTGTTTCAATTTCTTAATGGTCTCAATGAGTCCTACACAACTGTTAAGAGTGCCATTATGTTGATGAATCCTCTTTCACCAATCAACAAAGCTTATAGCCTCCTGCAGCAAGATGAGAGTCAAACAGAAGCTCATTCTGCTACTCCTAACTTCTCTGGTGATGCCACCTCTTTCTTGGTGTCTCCTGGTACTTCTACCTCAAATAGGAACTTCAGTCAAAAGGTTAATTTTGAGGCCAGGAAAATTGATCCAAATGTCTCTTGCAAGTACTACCAGAAGCCTGGCCACACTGTAGACAAGTGCTACAGACTTCATGGGTTCCCTGCTGATTTCAAATTCACCAGGAGTAAGAAGCATGCTTCTTGTGTCCAGACTAAAAGTCCACCCACCACTGCTGTCACTTCCACTTCTTAGCATGCTGATACTTCAGCCCATGGATTCACCAAGGAGCAGTATCAACACATGTTGATCTTGTTCCAACAAGCTCAGATGTCTAATACTTCCACACCTGATGCCTCCAATGTGGATCAATCTGCTTTTGCACACTTTGCAGGTTTGTTCAGTAAGTATGCTGTAGATTCTGAGGGTTCTCATGTGTGTGCGTCCTCTTAATTAGGTGTCAATCCTTGGATCTTAGATATAGGTGCTACTAATCACATGACTCCACACAAACATCTTCTTTTTACTGTTCAACCATTAATCAAGCCTTTTCTTGTCACTTTACCTAATGGATATAAAGCTAAAGTTATATTAATTGGATCTTCGTATCTTAGACATGATATAATTTTACTTCATGTTCTTCTTGTGCCATCTTTTCACTTCAATTTAATATTAGTTCATCAGCTTATCTGTCACCTAGATTGTTCAGCACTTTTTTACCAAAACAATTTGTTCTTTACAGGGCCCTTCTCTGAAGAGGCCACTGGAAATTGGTAAAGCTGCAGGCAGGCTGTACTATCTCCATCCAGATGCTGACCTCTTCCCTGTTCCATCTGGTTCTATGAATGTTTCTTCTTCTAGTACTTTACCAAATTTTGTTTCAATTGTATCTGATAAGTCCAGCCATGTTGTTACACATGTTAATGGTACTCATGATTGTAATCAGTCACATTACCTTAATAAATTGGACTTGTTTTGGCATCAAAGATTTGGACACATGCCTTATTATGGAATGAAAACTATTCCTTTCTTGTCTGATAAAGTATCTTCCAAGCAAAGTTTTATGTGCCCTGTTTGTCCACTAGCAATACAACAGAGACTACCTTTTCCTGAAAGTGTTATATGCTCTTCTGCTCCTGTTTAATTAGTACATATTGATATTTGGGGTCCATACAATACTAGAACTTATAGTGGCTTCAAATATTTTCTAACTTTGGTTGATGATTATACTAGAGCCACATGGACTCACCTTCTTTCTTGCAAGAGCAATGCTCTTTCTGTCCTTAAAGCTTTTACTGTCATGGTCAAAGTTCATTTTAATCATCTGTTCAAACCTTTAAGTCTGACAATGCCTTTGATCTTGGTGGCAGTTCTGAAGCCACCAAGTTCTTCTCAAGCCAAGGCATCCATCAGACCACTATCCTACACACCCCCTCATCAAAATAGGGTGGTTGAAAGGAAACACAAACACTTATTGGAAATATCCAGGGCTCTTCTTTTTTAGTCTAACCTTACCCTTAAATATTGGGGTGACTGTGTTCTAACTGCCACTTACCTCATAAATAGACTTCCTTCTGTTGTTTTGAAGAGTCTTCCCCCCTATGAGAAACTTCTTGGCCTCCCTCCACTTTATGATCACCTTAAATCCTTTGGATGTTTATGCTTTGCCACTTCACCTAAGTTTGGCAGAGATAAATTCCAGGCAAGAGCTATTCCTTCTATATTCTTGGGGTACCCCTTTGGCAAAAGGGGTTACAAACTTCTTAATCTCACTACTCATTCCATTTTCTTTTCTAGGGATGTGATTTTTCATGAACATATCTTTCCCCATAAATCTGATCATCCTTCTGTCTTTCCCTCTTATTCCACATCAGATTTTGTAGATTCTGCAACCTCTTTTCCTTCACCTTCTCCTACTCCTGCTGTTTCTACATCCCAAGACTCTCCTATTCCCTCACTTCCTTCTCCTTACCCTCTATCTGCTTCTCCTTCTGTCATCCCTTCTCCTCCACCTTTAAGGAAATCCACCAGAACAGTAAAACAACCTTCCTATCTCAAAGACTATGTATGTTCTTATGTCTCTTCCTTTAATTCTCTTCCTACCTCTTCCAAGGTATCTTTTGTTGACATACACATACATGAGCCCCAGTTCTACCAGCTGGCTGCCTCACATCCTGCTTGGCAAGAGGCCATGCTAAAGGAATTCCAAGCCCTTGAGGCAAACCAGACATAGGATATTGTCCCTCTACCTCCTCACAAGAAAGCTATTTCTTGTAAGTGGGTTTACAAAATCAAACAAATGGCTGATGGTTCTATTCAGAGGTATAAGGCCAGGTTAGTCATTAGGGGTGACACTCAAATTAATTTTACTGAAATTTTTTCCTCTGTTGTCAAGTTAACCACCATCAAGTGCTTACTCACTTTAGCTGCTAAGTGGGGCTGGACTGTTCTTCAACTTGATGTGAACAATGCCTTCCTTCATGGGGATCTCCATGAAGAGGTTTATATGAAGGCTCCACCTAGTCTTGATGTGTCTGCCCCATCTTCTTCCTCTCCCCTGGTTTGCAGACTCAAGAAGTCCCTCTATGGCCTTAGGCAAGCTTCTAGACAGTGGTCTTCAAAATTGTCTGAAGCTTTGCAATCCAGAGGCTACATTTCCAGCATAAATAAAATATTCTTTATTCACGAAGGTCTCCTCTGATTCTCTCATTGTCTTGGCTGCATATGTTGATGACATATTGCTAGTTGGTAATGATGTTGTTGAGATGAACTCCTTGAAGTCCTTCTTGGGTGCTCAATTCAAAATCAAAGATCTGGGCTCAGTTCACTACTTTCTGGGTTAAGAAATATCTCTTCTTCCTCAAGGTTATGTGATGAGCCAATACAAGTACACTTCTGACGTCTTGTCTGAATTTAGTTGTCAACATTTCTCTCCTATCATGACCCCTTTGGACCCTTCTATGAAGCTGGTGTTAGACATGGGGGAGCCTATTTCTGATCCTAGCTTGTATAGGAGATTGATTGGGAAGCTTAACTTTTTGCAACATACTAGGCCTGATATCTCCTTCTCAGTTCAACATCTAAATCAGTTTCTTCAAAAACCTTAAGTGCCCCACATGTTGGCAGCCTTACATGTTCTCAGGTATTTGCTTAGTGACCCAGCTCAAGGGGTGCTCCTCTCCAGCTCATCTGATTTGTCTCTCACAGCCTACTCTAACTCTGATTGGGCTGCATGTGCCATTTCTTGCAAATTTGTCACTAGTTATTATATTACTCTTGGTGGCAGACCCATTTCTTGGAAAAGCAAGAAGTAGCCAACTATCTCCTTGTCTTCAGCTGAAGCTGAATACAAAGCACTTCGCAAAGATTCAGTTGAGGTTTCTTGGTTACTCATGCTGCTGCATGACCTTGGTTTGTCCATCTCCAGTCCAGTTCCAATCTATTGTGACAACCAGGCAGCTCTTCTTATTTCCAAGAACCCAGCCTTTAACGAGCGCACCAAACATATTGAGATTGACTGCCATTATGTGCGCACTTGCTTGCAGACTCGTCTGATTTCTTTGCATTTTATCTCCAGCACCAACCAGTTGGCAGACATCTTGACCAAGGATCTTCCTGGTCAAGTTCATCATGGTTTACTTTGCAAGCTTGGTGTGTTCTCACCCTCAAGCTTGAGGGGGGGGGGGTGTTAGCCAAGATACATCTCAGGCCCAATTGACACAGGCCCAATCAGATAAGGGAAAGAAGAAGGCCCTTTTATAACTCTTAGCCACATCTATTATATTTTAGACATGTAAATATTTTTACAATTGTTTTTCTTCCTTTACACCTGTAAATATAAATAGTCCCTACACAATAATAAAATGAGTTTTGGTCAATTATATTTTGGCTGACTCACTCGTCTCTCTCTTATTCTCTTAACCCTTCTAGGGTTTTCTTCTGCCATTTCTGCCATAGCTAACAAGCTTTTAACCTAACACGTTTTTATATAATTGAGCCGTTGGATTTCTCTACTTGTTCAACTACGTGTTTGTTACTGTTGATTGAATGACCATCAATTGACTGTGCCTATTTAGTGTGTACTGCTCGAGAGAGAGTACGCATTTAGGTAGTTGTTGAACAACATCACTCCTAACGTATGTGAGAGATTAATACGGAGGGTTTAAAGGCGGGATTAGAGATAACGAAACCTTGTTCCGATCATAATGAGCGGTGAATTTGTGCCAACTAGTGTAGTTCGAGAGAATACATCTAGTAAATTGTGGTAGCTGCTCGAGAGATAATTATGACAACTAGAGTACTCACGATCGGTAGAGAAAATTTAGGCGAAATTTATAGAAGACATAGCGGGAAGGATTCCGACAATTGGGGAAATCATAACTCTAGACCTCCTTAATCTTATCTCCAACCCTAATTTTGTTAGTTGATAATTATATTGCTTTTAGTATTTGTTGATTAAATAGTTTAAAATAAAAATTACAATCTTTATAACTAGAAAATTATTTGAACTTGTATTTCTTAGAAATACTGAACAATTGTAGCTAAGCCTTAGTTCTCTATGGGATTCGACTCCAGACTTTTAGACCGGATATTATATTTGCAGCGACCGCTTATCCTTTTTAGGACTAGAGTTGGGC